ACTTTTATTATTATAGTGAATGAATATTTTTTCGAACATAAATAACTCCCAAGTTAAAATAGATGTTCACCTAACCCTCGTATTCCGCAAATGCTCACCTTTTTTACCTATGTCCCATGTGCGTCTCAATACCACGAACCACATAACCGCAATAATTAACAGGGTAAGTAACATATATGCTGATAGCGGTGACATCAAAGTGCTTGCTACAATGGGAATTGTTCCTATCCCTTCTATTGAAATCTGAGGATGCGGTTCAGTCAATGAGGGAGTATAATTTTCCGGCTGTGCAAGGTATGGAGTCACATTCTTTATTTCTTGAGATTGGGGTATAATATCCTCACCAATTTCATTAATGCTGGTTTCATCACTTACTTTGGAATTAATCTTGGTATCATTTTTTGGTAGTTTGGTAATCTCATCATTGGTATATGTCGAGATATTACCATCAATTTTTTCTATTGGATCCATATTTTTTCTGCGTACAAAATATTTACTTAGATCATTATCCTTGATTATATTTTTTTCGTCATCTCCACCAACTATGGGTTTTGGTATAGTCTCCGATTTCAAACGCTCAAGCTCACTAATATTCGAAACCAATTCGTTCTTTAGATCTACCAATTCAGACTTGAGAGCCACGATCTCAGATTCTTTTTTCGATGAGTCGTTTTGAATAGAAATCACATCTTTCTGGGCTGAAGATAACTTACTTTCCAATATCTTAACCATAGACTCAAGCGATCTAATTTTCTTGGATTCATTCTGAGTTGAAGATAGTTTCGTTTCTAATATTTTTATCTTAGACTGGAGATCTTTTATCTTGATTTTAGATTCATTAAGGGAAATATCTTTGCGGGTAATTTGATATATTAAACTATTTATTTCTGAGTTCAATCGCTTAACCTCCTCTATAAGCTGGTAGGCCTGCTTGGTAAGTATCTCTTTATCTTTACTGGTTTTATTTAGATCACGTTGCAATTGTGCTTTATCCTGTTTAATATTTTTACTAAACTCTGAATATACTTTCCGATAGTTTTTTAAATCCTTAATAAGTTCAGAATTAGTCTTACAACTATCACGTAAAGCTTCTTCAAGTTCTACCTCCCTAGTACTTCCAAGTCAATACCCTTTTGGGTTAATATCTCGTAATGTGCGTATATTAGCCATGTATTTTTTCTCATATATGTATAACAAAAATATATTAAATATTTATATCAATAGGTATCAATAGGCATCAATCTTAGGTAACAATAGGTATCAATAGGTATTAATATATATGAATACATATAATACTCATCAATAGGTATCAATACGTTTTGAAAAATTATTGAAACTTTTTTTTTTCTAATACATATATATCTATCTTAAGATGCTTACCCATATTCATCAAAAATTTTATCGATCCAATGCGACTCATTTATCTGAATCTGTTATTATAGAAATTAGAGAATCAAGGGGGAAGATACCAAATGCATCAAAAAGAATGGCAGAAAAATTTCATATTGGTGCTCGTCGTGTTTATGAAATATGGGAGCACAATGAACGTTTACAACAAGATCTTAATTCTCCATCACCTTCTGATTCTGATAACTCTTCTATTTTAAATGATTTTAAAAACAAGAAATCTTCAGCTATTGAGTCATCAATTAAAAAAATAAAATCCAAACCTGTTCGTATTTTGAATCAACCTTCTATTAATAAAAATTTAACTGGAAAGTTAAGCGCAATATCATTAGAAGTAAAAAAAGAAACTATACTACCTGAAACTTCGCAAGAAACTGAAGATCCTTTGGAATTCTATAAGAGAACACAAAAAGAGATTAAAAAAGTTAGAGCGGATGCACATGCTGATATTTCTAAAGTATCAACTTCTAATCTAAAAGTATAGAATTGATTTCTTCTTTATACTTATTACGTAAATCATTATAATATCCGATAAATTCTGAATTGGTTTGAACACTAGTAAATAGTGCCTTTTCAAGTTCCTTTACATGAATGGTCATACTTTCACAATCTACACATTTTTTTTTAAAGTTGAATCTGTATCTTCAGAAATAGATGGAATTGCATTAACATGATGTACCTCAAGCTTATTTTTGACTTTATGCATAGTGACTGGAATGATGAAATCTTTTCCATTGCAATGAAGCTTCATTTCGGATTTAGGCCAATCCATAACACATCCATGTTTTTCAAGGAAAGCATTACTTAATAACAACATAGGCTTATCGTATTCAATAACTACAAAATCTAAATAAAAAACACAACCTCGAACTAAGGTTAATGGCACATTATAAACCATTCCAATTGATTTTGTTAGGACAGTGGACGCTCCCTTGAAATAAAACGTCACGCTTTTATCAATTTTTAAACCCAAGCGGTCAGCAATGTCTCTAGACATAAGCAAAGTATTAGAACCAGGGTCAACTATGGCTGAGAGAACTAAACGTTTGATTTTACCCCTCACAGTTGGAACATCTATTACATCTTTATCCTGAACAAAGTTAATTTCCATATCTTCGACAACTTCTTCATCCTCGGTATCTTCGATTTGTTGAGAAGTATCATTTGTGGTACTAGATTTCTGAAAATTTCATAAGATTTTACGTATAGTCTCTTCAAATAAAGCGGAATTTTCAAGCTCGCTTTGGATTATCTCACGAATTCGTCGTTCTAGTAAAGTCGAAGTGGGATTTTGTGATACTCGAGGAGAAACTTGAATCTCCTTACCCTCTGAAGGATATGCATCTTTCTTGCCTTTGGATCGGGATTGTTTGTCGGATATCTTCTTAATGAGTTCTCTAGGTCGATCTACTTTTTTTTAATTCTGGATACATTAACATTTGATTCTTCACTAAGTGCATTATCATCAAATTCACCATCATCCTCTTGATCGGAAATAGCAGATTCATTAGGGGTTTCTTCCGTATCACAGCTATTATCAAATTGATCTTGTGAGAACCCATCGGCGAAATTCACACGACCAGCTCTTTTCCTAGAATTATTAACCATCATATTCTTAATTATAGAACAACTGCGATAAGTATGACCTAGCTTTTTACAAATCTCACATTTGCGTTGAGCTTGTCTAGTACTTAATCTAGGACCTCTAGCCAGATTTATTGTCGGACTTTGTGAATTGGACAACCCTTCAAGCTGATCTATTTTATTCACAACATTGATTATCGCGTAATCAATTTCCATCGGTTCAAACACTCTATTATCCTCAGCCTCAAGACCCATTTCTGCATAGTTTTTCAATTCCTCGTAGTATTTGGCTTTCTCAGTTTTGGGGCGAAAATTGCGTTGAAATGGCTGGGATTCTGGTGGTTGGAATACTGGCTGTTGAACGATTTGCTGAGGCGGTTGGAATGCGGGTTGTTGAACGATTTGCTGAGGCGGTTGGAATACTGGCTGTTGAACGATATGCTGAGGTGGTTGAAAAGTCGTTCCATTCATACTATTTGCACTTCCATAATTAAACGAAGAAGGCCTACGTTTAAGCCACAAATTTTTGAGATGAGTAAAGAATGCATTGTAATTTGCGGGATTTGCACTTTCCATTCGATTGAAAAGGTCATCAGGTAAATGATTCATAAGGAATGACAAGGCATTAGCATCGTCATCAGCAACACCCAATAATAGGGGGCGTATTCTCATCTCATATGTTTCCGGCGTATCATTAGGTAAAAATTTTTCGTAAGCTAATCTCTGGAAAGCAACTTGTTGTGATCCGACCATTTCTGTCTGATATTTATAACGTAACCATGCAATAAAACGAGCTGGAGTATCAATATTATTTCCAGCATGTTGAGCAGGTACATCTGCATATTTTCGACCAAGTCTACTTTTTAAAATAGCTACTTTATTGGCATCATTGAGATTTGTTATCGCAGGAATAGCTAGTATTGCGTGAATTTTATTATACCATTCATCGGGCTGAACCTGTCCATCATAAAATTCAACATTTGCAAGTAAAGGAGTAATACCAGT